AAATTTGTTTAAATTGTTTATTAATTTAATAACATACATCTGGGCATCACTTTGAAGGTTATAAAATATGATTGTTAAAGACTTACAAGTTTATAAAGATGAAACCAACAAAACAAGCCAACAAAATTGTTACTTTAAAAAGTTTAAAATAAAATGTATTTATAGTATGCAAGTAAAATAATACATAGTCACAATAAAAAATAAATTACGAAATGTGCGTTTAGCATAACTAGTTCAATAAAATGAATATATTTCTTGAGTTCATCAAACTATACTTTTAATACAAAATTTAGCCAAAACCCCGTATGTAATGCTATATATAAAACCATATGTTATGCTACATGGCTTTCCTGAAGTTATTACAGAAGTAATTCCACATATAATTCCGTCATCCTTTTTTCAGGTGGGTGTCTGTTTAAAAAAAATGAAATAAATTTCTCAAATTCTTAGGTGAGATCTCAGGTGCTTGCACAGGTGCTTGCACAACCATCATGCATGTGTTTAGTATTTCACGATGAAAATTTATGTTAAGTAGGATTGTAGGTATATACATTTGAAAAATTTTAGTTCACACATCTAAACTAAAGATACCATGAAAACTCTATCCACATCTCCATTCTTAATTATTTTAAAAATTCGAATTTAAGTTAATTAAATACCTTTTTCCCAATTGTAGGTTACTACAATCCGATCTCCAACTATGAGGGATGGTCGTTGTTTTAATGTTTGTTTAAAAAAATTTTTTTATTGAAATTTAAACTAAACTACAAAATATTATCGTTTTAGTAGAAGCATGAAAAAGCCAAAACGGTGTCGAAAATAAATTAAACTGCTTCAACTGCAAAAAGATTATTTGCTTTACAATAATTGTTTACTTAAAATTGAAGACTCGATTTACGCACACAGCGCACAACGGTCAATAATATGCGTAATATGTTAAAGGCTATTTGTATATCTATATAAAATGTATTACTAACTTAAAATCAAGTGAAAAAAAATTAATTTTGAAAAGGCTCTTTCTTGCCATTAAGTTGGAAAAGGCTCTCGCTTGCTCAAAAGTTTGAAAAGGCTCTTTCTTGCATTAAGTTTGCAAAAGCTCTCTCTTGTCATTGCTCTGGAAAAGGCTCTTTATTGCGCTGAGCCGACGTCGTATGGACCCTCAGTGAGGCTGACGAGTGACGTCGGCCTTAGACACCTCTATATCGCCGCGATACTAGCGCTAATCTAAAGCTCCTTTCTATACTAATATATTAATATAACCATTAATATCACAATTATAACCACCACATTTTTTTAAAGGTTTGTTGTCAATGCTTGTCATAACGTCTATGAACAAAAATTTTTTACGTGAATTTCGTATGATTAACATTAAAAATGTGAATTACCAAGAAAGTTGTGATGAGATAAACTACAGGATTAAAACTCAGAAATACTCACCAAATCATTATTTAAAAGTGCCTTCGAATCCAATAACTTTTCCGCAATAAGATTGGCTGAGCTATTCGAAGGTGTAGCAATGATGATTCGACTATCTCTAATATTTAGATATACTTGTAGAATGGTTTCTACCATAGTTATTGTTTTTCCAGTTCCAGGAGGCCCAAATATTACGTAAGGCAAAGGCCGTGCTAGACCTTTCAGAATATTTTTAACGGCTTCTTTCTGGTAAGTGTTTAACTTTTTGTTGAACCAATGGATCAACTTTTTTAGTATCCCATGGTCTTCCTTATTCATCATCCTTGATAGTGTTACTTGTTCTATTCCTCCATCTTCCTCTTCTACGAAATTTATCTGCGGTTCTTTCTGCACCACTCTTTTAGGAAAAAGTACATCTGGGCCGAGATTGGGTACCACCATACTGATGGCTGCTTGGCGTCGGTGTATCACTGTGGAGGAGGTTGCAAATCTTACTGTGCACTCTTCACTTTTGTAAGACTCATGAAAAATAGGATTGAACTTTAAGTACACGTCTGTATTTATGATTTTGTGAATGTAACTTTCATAGTTTTTGGCATCTGAAAAAAAGTCATATTACAAACATTACGACTAGAAAATACGAAAAAAGATAAAAATAATGAACTTTTGTTTAGATTTTACACGTTCATAAAGTATTAACTATACTCAAATTGTTAAACTTGTAAATGAGAAGAGAGTCAACAAATTCATGCAAACATAATGAGTGCTGGAAAAACATAACATGGTAAACTACGTAAAGATAAGCTTTTAGTAATAAAGTTGTCCTCATACACACATTTTGTAGCTTTTCTATTGTATTGTCTGATACTGTTTTCGTACCTTACGTTAAAATTTTAACTGTTACAGGACGAAGCCATATTATTGATGAGCCATATTATATATGACTCGTCCCCGAGTAGAAATGAACCTACAGTTTGGATCCAGCCTGGATACACTAAATGTATGAAGGCTGGATCAATTGTGTTCGCAGTTTTGGATCAATAATAGATCTAGGCAGCTGGACTTACAGATAATTGATAAAAAATGGATCAAGCCTTGATCCAGATGCTGTATTATTCAGCGTGTTATTTATTGTGAAAAAAAGTATTGTCATTTATACTGTAGAAATTGTGTCATAAAATAACTAATTAACGATAACTGTAATTTGAAACCGTACGTGAAAATAGAACTAATTGAAGGAATTAATATAAACAAATAAATATTAAATTATTTTACTTTTTACATATTTAAAAGTAAATAAGAACATCTGTAATAAAACAAAACTAGCTTTCGTTTATCGACTTGTCAATGTTATTTTCAGTAGCAATTTAATTTGTCATAGACAGTAAATCCTGGTTAAACAAATAGTTAATTTTGTTCACTCCAAAACTTCAATCATTAAATACATACAGACAGCTTGGTTTTTGCTATTTTTACTAAACTCGCCAGGTAATATAACCTTATTACTTTTATTTACAATCACAGGATTTTTATTATTTGGACTGTCCGTCTATACTTAACATGAACAGTGTCAACTGCAGTGCGCTAATGGGGTGACATTTTCAATGGTTAATTTACAACTTAATTCATAGCTTCATACATTAATTGTGCAAGCAAGAATATGATATATATATATGTATATCATTTGTAAGGCAGTCAGTTAGCCAGTATATGTTGTGTATGTGTACGTATCATGTGATCTCATCATCCAGTACTTTAGCTAAAATAGACCCATTATGGATCCAAAACTGCGAACATAATGGATCCAGGGCTTGATTAATATAATGGATCAAGTCTGGATCTAATCATCCATTTCCCTTAACATATTTCTACTCGGGATCATGCTAACTTGAAAATTTATAATCATGTGATTAAAGCCTTTTTATCCGTTGCAAGATTGGTTAACACAGCTCACGTGGTTTGTTTGGTTGATCTTTTAAATGATAAGTTGGGTTAAATTGTAGTACTTAATATTTAAAAAACAATAAGTTTACTATGTTAATAATAATCATGAGTAGTACTTCTTTCCTTGTTTTTCCTAATAAAAGCATTAACAAACGATTGTTTCATTAAAGTTAATTTTGAATAAAATTACATAATATAAAGTTCTATTTTGGGTTGTTAAAATATTTCTTATATGGGTTAAGTACATTTTTATTATAAAATTTGTTTAAATTGTTTATTAATTTAATAACATACATCTGGGCATCACTTTGAAGGTTATAAAATATGATTGTTAAAGACTTACAAGTTTATAAAGATGAAACCAACAAAACAAGCCAACAAAATTGTTACTTTAAAAAGTTTAAAATAAAATGTATTTATAGTATGCAAGTAAAATAATACATAGTCACAATAAAAAATAAATTACGAAATGTGCGTTTAGCATAACTAGTTCAATAAAATGAATATATTTCTTGAGTTCATCAAACTATACTTTTAATACAAAATTTAGCCAAAACCCCGTATGTAATGCTATATATAAAACCATATGTTATGCTACATGGCTTTCCTGAAGTTATTACAGAAGTAATTCCACATATAATTCCGTCATCCTTTTTTCAGGTGGGTGTCTGTTTAAAAAAAATGAAATAAATTTCTCAAATTCTTAGGTGAGATCTCAGGTGCTTGCACAGGTGCTTGCACAACCATCATGCATGTGTTTAGTATTTCACGATGAAAATTTATGTTAAGTAGGATTGTAGGTATATACATTTGAAAAATTTTAGTTCACACATCTAAACTAAAGATACCATGAAAACTCTATCCACATCTCCATTCTTAATTATTTTAAAAATTCGAATTTAAGTTAATTAAATACCTTTTTCCCAATTGTAGGTTACTACAATCCGATCTCCAACTATGAGGGATGGTCGTTTCTCAGCAAGACCAGGCACTGTTAACGTTAAGAATTCTCCATTTTTTTTCATCACAGCACAGTTCATTTCATACTTCTGCATATTAAGTATATCTGCAATTTCTTCCAAGTACAATAAATGTTGAAAACGTAGCTCGTAATTTTCGAAATTTAAAGTTTCCTTTAGGTGAGGCACTACCTTTTGTAAGGCAAGTTCTGATTCTATACGGTTTTTCTTTTCTTGAATGATTAAATCTACAGTTGACCAGAGGATATGTGGTATTTCATATCTACAATTTCTTACAAGAATAAATTTAGGTGGCTTAAATGGCTTAACACCTCTGATATAAGTGCCTTCTCTGTATGGTTTTGGGATTATAGATTTTGATTGTCTTTCATTTATGCAGGAGTCATATTTTTTTTTTTCTTGAGTTGGGTCAGAAAAATTATTGTTATTAATTTTTATTTCAAAAATTCGCCCAATTTTAAAGTCCTTAAACGTAAATATCACTACTTCTTGAGATAGCCCAACAAATCTAGCTGTGCACTTGAATGTATATGTTATTTCTTCTTCTGGATTTAACAAAATAGGATCCTCAGTCTCTGGTGCTATGAGACTTATTTGTGATACTTTTTTTACTGAAAAGGGACGTTTCCGAATCTTCTGAATAAAATTGCCGTTGTTCTTTACCTTAATTTCTATAACTTGTTCTTCATCAACATTTAAATTTATTTTAATATCTTTTGTTATTTCTATATTCCGCTTATCTTCCAATAAATCGTTATTTTGTCCGAGAGGTAACAGAGTTTCTTGTTTTACAGTTGCAAGACCATATTTACTTGATACCTGTTCAAAACAAAGTTTGGGAGTATAATTATTAATGATTGATTCTCTTCATCATTATATGCTGTTAAAAATACTTACATCTTTTAGTGGACTTACAGAAAGGGCCCTCCATTTCATCTTTGGTATTTGATCATTTTGTATACTTTGTACAATAACTCTGTCTCCCCTGTATGGCCGAAAACCATCTACACAAGCACATTTATAAAAAAAAATTGATTCATCTACTATTCCATACTCTGTAACTTCATTATATTCCGCGACTTTCCCTAGCTTGGTAATAAATTTGACGGGCTGGATTGACTCAACTTTTAATATCTTATTTTTTAAATTAGGAATGCCTTCGTTGACTTCCACTAAGCATTTTATTTTCAACCAGTCTCCAATGGCAGGAACAAAATTTGAAGTACTTCTGTCTAAATTGATGATGGTACCATCATGAAGATAAACATCCCTGCCGATTCTTTTATCCACTTTACCAATTTCTACCCCCTCGCGTATTTGCCTTATGTGCTTTTCAGTTGGGTTTACTTTACAGTTATTCAATTCTGTAATCAGCAGATTGTCACTTTTTTTTAAAATAGGGTATGTTTTATCAACTGGAATGCATTGCTGCTGTCTGGAGGGCTTGATCTTGTCAATAATTTTGCGTATCCTCAGCTTTTCACCTATCTTGGTCTTATAAGCTACGTATCTTACTTTGTCACCTCTTTCAAGGCGTGCTGGTCCGATGCATTCTGTTTCGCACATGTAACGGTTCTCGATAATAACGTGGGTTTTAAGCACACGAGTCACGGTACCATATCCAACGAAACACTCAGATTCATTCTGCTTAACGGAACTTTGCTGATCCGTGGTGTGGATCTCGATGAAACTGGCGTTTCTGTAATCCGGTGCAAGTGGTATTATATCTGCTACGCTAATGGTGGGTTCTTTTGTAGTCCCGAGCCAATACATTAGTAAACTCAACATATTGCCATATATGTTTTCTTTCTGCAAAATCCAAATAAATTAATTTATAAGTAATTTAAAAAAACAGCCATTTTAATAAAAGTAACTTAGAGTAGTATATTATGATACAAAGGTACAAGGCAGATAATTGTTATCCTAAGTCTCATGCTGAAGGAGTAAACTGAGGTATCTGTGCCCGGTGCGAAGGGAAAATAAATCTAAGCTGTTTAGCATAACTGTCACACTAACTTTTTATATATTTGTGTATTTATTTTCCATCTCATACACCAAAGGATTTTTTGAGGGTATACCCTTAAAATATATTCTCTATATTAGAATGATAACAACCCGCTTTACATGATAACTTAATTAATGCCATCTGCCTACTGTGCTGGCTAGCATGAGATTTTGGCGTCAAGAAACCGTCGAATGTGGCCTACAAATACACACACACACACACACACACACACAGAGAGAGAGGAGGGGGAGACATCAACATATTTTATATTCTCTATTAAAAACGGCAACAATAAGTCTTAAACTAAAATCATCGTAAGTCCACAGTGGCCAACTGATGAACTCACAGACATCTGTGCAAAATAATCGAAATACGACGAGTTTTCTAGTAGCTCGTTTTCCATGCCGTACCTCAAGGTGGTAATTTCATGATTCCCGAGTCAAAGGTGCGACTATCAAGTTGATAGTTATTAATACTGCTTAAATTTAAAACGATCATGATGTCCGATATAAAAATTCGTAGGAATAATTACGTAAAATTTACGCTTAACGTCAAAATACCAGAAGTTGATGCTTGCCTGTGCTTTCTACGCATAGGACACGAAAATACATACCTGTGTTTGTTTTAATATCTTTTGATTAAGTCCGTGAACATACATATTTCAAGATAGCAGTATGTTTAGTGTTGTGTAAGCTTTATTGTGTTAATTTTTGCTTAATTATCTTCAGTAAATAAATAACTAGGCTACAAATTTCAGTAAAGGAATGCTAAGTTGCCATAAAAGCACATGTTTAGAATTTAATTTTCATTCATCATTTTCTTGCGTTTATATTCGTCAGCCTACTCTGAATATTTGAGAGGTAGTGTATTGTAACTTAATAAATTATTCCTCAAGGTTTCACCTTATTCTATTCATAATCATTTCATGAAAAAATTACCTTAAGGTAAATTCAGATGTATTGGGACACTTTTGATAGTGCGAAATTATCATCCCCGGTTTTTCAAAAACTATGTTACAATATTACGTACTTATAATCGTTTTCAACCATTGGCAAATATTTTTTTCTATCAATAAAAAAAAATTACTGATTTTTTTTTTGTAAGAGTTTAAAAATCGAATTCTTAAACTTATGTCTAATTCAGCTATAAAGGGACACACTGAATTTATATTGAGGCAATTCGGGACATCACTTAAGCAATTCTGGACAAATGCTTAATTTTTATCTCAATTACATATAACCAATTTCATATTGCCATTACAGTAGTTATTAACAAATAAATTAACTTTATACAGATAAAACAATAAGAGATGGAGCTTATTTTAGCCTACAAACTGATGATGGTTGTTTGAAACGGATAGCTTGTATCCTCACTTACATTCAGTATTGTTACATTCTAAATCCAAGTTATAATGATATGCGGTCAAAAAATGTGAGATTAAATTTTTTAGTTTTGTGTTACAACTTTTAAATTGTTTTTATATAACAGATCGACGATAATCGTGCACGAAAAATTTGAGGTTATGATTTAAATTCTCTGTATTTTAGATAATTTGGATCGACAATCCTACTAAACTTTAATAATTGTAACATCTCTAATTTTAGTAGCATTAGAAAGTAAAAGCATTAGAAAGCTGAAGCAATTCAACTTGTATAGTAATGTGGAACACGTGTGATTTGAACGCCACATAAAAAATTTTGTTTTTTGTTAGTTTGTTACTTCAACTCATACAGTTTTTTGTTTTTTTATATATTAATATGTTACATTATATTGCATATTAACTGTCTTGTAGAATAAATAGAAATTTTTTGTTTTAAACGATAATTTGTTTAAAACCGTTTTTGACGCTATCCTGAGTTATCTTACAAATTTTTTGTGTCTCGAATCATCTAAATTTATTTTAGTACCTTGGGTGTACACTTATTTGGACTTTCTAAGGACACGTTTTAAATTATGCACAGCCACATTTTAAGTAATTTTAAAGCATTAATAAAAAAAAGTAGTCGAAGTGCTAAACTTTCAAGTAGTATCGGAAAAAATTTTATGGATTTTACTTTTTTTTGCTTACTAAAAAATTGTAAATCAGATCTTAAGAGTATTATGTGACTTTAATTTAAACCATTTAGTTTCTGAAAACTTAAAATTTTGCCAATAAATTTTTAAGAACATCACGAATGAATACTATGAATACTATGGATGCACATCCCTAAGGAATTATTGAAATGTAATTTAGTTTTAAAAATATCAAAACACCTTATATTATCCGCTATGTCCACTCAACCCGATGTATACCTACTTAATCTTAAAGTTTTTTTTTTCTTTTAAAAAAAATATAACATTTTGATGGATTGAATTTTCAACGATCATATTTTACTACATTCATCAAAATTGAAATTGTTTATTAAATAATTACATACATTTTTTCAAGCTTTCATACTAGCGACAAGTAATAAATGATTTCAAACTTTGATTCTATTTGAGATTATAGTCAAAGATTAAGCCTCAATATTTGTTACAGTTAACTTTATTTAATTTCTTCTCTGTGATTCTTATATTTTTATTTAATGGTACACTATCACAGTAATTTTCAAAAGTTTTAAAGATATTTTTTCATTTTGTATTCAATTTTGTTATATGAGTCATCCATAGTAATAACAGCAGCATTATTTGAATAAGATAAAACTGAGCTTTGTATCATACTTATCAATAAATTTTTTATGTATATAATAAATAACAATTAGCCAAAAATGGTCTTTTGGGAATACATACGTAAACGATAGTGATGCATTAAGGCTTTAAAAAAATAAACACAGAAACAAAAATTAAAACTAGAACATGTAATTTATGAGATGATTATATACTGTTACGGGGTGGATCACGCGGATTGACGAGGCGGAGTCCCTCCACTTCGACCGGGCCTGGGTTGCCCGGATACCCAACGGTGACACTCCCTGTAATATATTTTGCGAGTCTCGTTCGCCGAGACACCGCTGTTGGATCAGGTATCGCGGTGACCTTACACGTCGTCGCCTCTCGCGACGACTATAACACGGCACAACGGGGGATCGGGCACACAATGAAAGGAAGTAGCACTCGCGGTTATTTTTTTGTTAATAAAAATGTATATTCAAGAAATATGAATTGATTACAAGAAAAGGTATTCGCGGGTGTGTGTGTGTGTGCGTGTGTGTGTTTAATTCTCGCACGTCGAGCGCGCTTGCTCGACGTGCTCGCGGCGCGAAAACGCGAACCGGGCAGACAACGCGGACTAATCTAGGGCCGCTGCCCTTTACAATAAACTGCCTGTTGGCAGGTACTTACGGCGAAGCGGGGTCGCTCCCCGACGATGCCTCTCGCAGGCCAAGTCTACACGGGAGCAGTGGAGCGGTTACGCTGAGGTCAGTAGGCGTCCCTACTGGCAGCGTTCGAAGGCCGAGATCGACGGTATCGGCCTCGGTGACCCTGAGTCCGGCGTCGTCTGCTATCCCAGCAGGACCCGGACACTCAGCACCAAACACTGTACCGGGGACAGCTCAAGTACAGCCGCCACGACAACAATCGCAGGAACGGAAACACTCCAGAGGACGTGTCTCACGTCCTCCAAAACAAAAATTCGCTTCACGCGCGTTCGCTGGCCCAAGCTAATCTGATCTCTTTTCGGCTTTTTCTTCCCTTTCCAGCCTTTCCTAACTGTCCTCTCCGTTTTTCCCTTTTCCTTCTTTCCCTATCGGTCCTAGCCTACCGATCATGGCTCGACGGTATCTCACCGTCACAATACAATAATTTAAGACCAAGAAAAGAAAATCTTATCTTACTAATATATAAAGCAAAGTCGCTAAAACCGTTGTAATCGCTAACCGCAAAAACTGCTGAACCGATTTTGCTGAAATTTTGCATACCGATTCTTGACACTTCCTAGATGGTTTTAGTATGGTTTTTATCTTGAAAAATTTAATAACAATAGCAATAAATAAGCTCAAAGTTTTGCAAAAATATGCCAGCTTTTCACCTTAGTTCAGTAGGATCCGCTAGGTGGCGTCGACATAAAATCGAAGCTACCTGCAACAGAATGAAATAGGTGTGGTTATAATACGCCAGATAGCAGTTTTTCTGCAATCGTCGATTGGCACTTCATCGAGCTGCATTGAGGATGTAGCTGGAGTCGTACAGCTTGGTACCCCGGGTACCGATGACGCTCTTCTCCGAAGGGGAAAAGATCTCGGTCTTCACTTTCACCTGGAACCTTCAGAATTGATGAGTGCCACTAACGACAAATTTATTCGAACCGATAACGTCTCCGGCGGAATACCAGGCGACGTGTCTAGCCAGATCACATTCTGCTCCGACACTTGAGAGTTTTGTGGCCGTACCACAATCTGGCCTGGTGCCGTCAGAAAATTATTTACTACATATATAGGCCAGGGTAGACAGCCCTTAAGAGTACGGGCAGCCACAACTGCCAACTTCTTCGTGGTCGTTCCAACGGCATACCTACAGAGAAGGTATTCTCCAGGCCCACTTTCCCAACTAACGATGAGCGGTGGTTATCCGGGCATTCAGGGCAACGACCTGAAGACGAGATATATTTTGATCAGCGGCGTATCTCCCTCATGTACGGTCTCCATACACAGAGACTCCGAGGGTAAGAGTCAAGCTACCCACAGCTGGCTCTCCATCATCAAGCATAATAATAAGGAATAACTAGAAATTTTATCACTGGCCTTTTTCAGGGCCAATATAAGTATTTACGTTCATTAATTAACCATCAATCTCATCGGATTTT